GGGTAGTACTACTGCTGATAAAATACAGCCAACCACCACAATTACTTTGAATACTATGTTGAAGAAAAAGGGTAGGGAAGATGTATGCTTGGATATTTGTAGATGTTTTTATGCTAATGCCTTTCCTTTTAATTTGGTAAACGATCCATATTTTGTAAGAATGTTAGAATCTGTTGCATCGTTTGGTAAGGGATTGAAACCTCCATCGTATCATGAGGTGAGATGTTCTTTTTTGAAAAAAGAAACAAATTTGATTAATGGTGGGTTGATGGAAAATTATAAAGCAGAGTGGAGAAGTTCGGGTTGTACTCTTATGTCTGATGGATGGACTGATGGGAAACATCGCTCTATCACTAATTTTTTAGTGAATAGTCCTAGAGGAAGTGTGTTTCTTAAAAGTATTGATACTTCAGGTATTTGTAAGAATGCGGATAATCTTTTTGAGCTTTTAGATTCAATGGTAGAAGAGATTGGTGAGGATAATGTTGTTCAGGTTGTAACTGATAGTGCATCGGCTTATGTAAAAGCTGGGGAGTTGTTAATGGCAAAGAGGAAAAAGTTGTTTTGGTCTCCTTGCGGTGCACATTGTCTAGATCTCATTTTGACGGATATTGGGGACCTTCCTCTGCACAAGGATATAATGTCAAAGGCAAGGAAAATCACAGTTTACATTTATAGACATTCTTGGGTGTTAAATCTTATGAGAAAGTATACAAAGAAAAGGGATTTGGTGAGAGCTTGTGTGACCAGATTTGCCACCTCATATTTAACTTTAAGGAGTTTATTTGAAAATAAAATTGGGCTTAGAGCAATGTTTGCTTCTGAGGAATGGCAGAGAAGTCAATATTGTAAGAAGGGAGATGGTGTAAAAGTGATGGATATTATACTAGCTGACCAAAATTTTTGGGGATCAATCAAGTATTGCTTGAAGTGTGTGTTGCCATCGGTGAAGGTGTTGAGGCTTGTAGATGGGGATCTAAAGCCAGCCATGAGGTATATTTATGAGGCAATGGACAAGGCAAAGAAACAAATCCAAAAGAATTTTCGTAATGTGAAGAAGCACTATGAGCCCATATGGACTATTGTTGACACTAGATGGAACATGCAATTACACAGACCTCTTCATGCAGCTGCCTATTATCTCAATCCCGCGTAAGACTTAATACTTAATTTTCTCAATTTTTATATCATTTTATATCAATATATTGTATGCTGATCAATGATCATTGTAAATCAAAATAATTATTTCAGGTTTCATTACACCGGTAGTGCGGACTATGAGATAAAGATGGGACTATATCAGACTATTCAGAGAATGTGCCCAAGTCCTATTATGAGAGAAAAAGTTGATAAACAATTAGATATCTTTCATAATGCTGATTTGATGTTTGGAATGGACATGGCAATCCAAATGAGGAAGAAGAAACAACCTGGTTAGTGGTAACTTAACTTAAGTTAGTTATTTGAATGCAACTGCTTAAGTTAGTTAATAGAGTATTCTATTGTAATTTTTTATAGCCTTGTGGTGGGAATCATTTGGAGGATGTTGTCCAGAGTTGCAACAACTTGCTATCCGCGTCCTTAGCTTGACTTGTAGTGCCACTGGATGTGAGAGGAATTGGAGTACATTTGACCAGGTGCACTCTAAGAGGAGAAATCGATTAGAGCAACAAAGATTAAGTGCACTTGTGTTTGTGAAGTACAATCTTCGATTGGAGGCAAGACACCAAAAGAGAATACTAGAGGGTGATTCCTATGATCCTATTTCTCTCTCAGATATGGAATCTGATGATGAGTGGATCACTGAAAAAGAATATGTACTCCTTCCTGAGGACACTACTTGGATGAATGTTGGTGAATGTTTTGAGGTTCAAGAAGGGACTAGCAAAAAGAGAAAGAGAGGTACTTAAAATGTAGTGGTTGTTTTTTCTTCTTCTCCATTACTTTGAATTTTATTTTTTTTATATTTTGTATTGGTTGCTTTGTAGGGCCTAGAAATCTTACTTTATACAAGAAAAAAGGAAAGCAAATAGTTCAACTTGAAGATGAGGATGAGGATGAGGATGAGGATGAACAAATACAAGAAGTTGAAGATGATAAAGGAAGTGAAGACTTGTTGGCATCCGATCACAATGATGATGATGATGATGCATTTTCAATTGAAATTGAAGATTGAGTTCAAAATGGATGTTAGAAATTTGGATTAGAAGTCTCTTTGGTGTTTAAAGTTTGAATTAGTGAACTATGGTTGTGAACTTTGCATTATAATAGTAGTGGATTATGTTGATAACTTGAATAGTTGGTGGAGTATTAATGAAATGCTATATTTTTTATGAGTGTATGACTTTTTTTCAAAGGTATATATATTTTTTTATTATTTATTTAAAATTGCATCGTATCTTACGATACACGATACGATACAATATTTGTATCTTACGATACGCCTTCCGATACACGATTTGATAACTATGGTTGTGACATCAAGTAGGAGTATTTGCTTAATTAAAGAATATGTGCTCCTCGCATCTTTGCCCTCTCCACGTAGGTTGTGAACTTAACAAATAATGTTATCTGATTTTCTTTACATTTAAATGTTAGTGTATCATCATGCTTCTCTTTTGTTTCTCAATAATAGTGAAACATGGAAACAAGAGTCATGTCTAAGCAAGGACAAGTTGCAAGAGATGGCAACCCCTACATATGAGGACACAGGAAGAAAAACCTACTTTCTAAAGTATAAGGGGTTAACAACTTAGTGTGTGTTTGCATGAGATTGTATCTTATCTAAGGTTGGCAAGGGTTCAGTTATACCTCCACTCAAATCCTTTTCCTATGTTTTGTAGCTACACATCTTAGAAGTACTAGAACAACGTCTGAAAATCAAATGTGTAACTATACAAGTAGTTTTGGGACCAGAATGCAAACACCAATATCCTTCAGCACCTCCACTAATGCATAGTGACAAATTCGGTGCATATTCATGGAAATGCAATTACATGTTTCGAATTTCATATTATGTTCTACTTATACCTATTACAACAAAACAAATAAAAAAATAACAGATAACACTGACTTTATATAGAGAGGCATCGCTTCAAAACAGATATACAGATTGACAAGCATGCACACAACAAAGCAAAAGCATTTGAAACAGCACAAAGCCAATGAAATGGCAGATAAAATGATACCTCATCAATCCAATCCCACCACCGAAACTCCGCCTGAATCTTATTCCTCAAAACATTGTACAAAAGCGTTGGGTAAAACAGAGCGCGAGCGCCCGCTCCAATCAAAACTTTTTTTGCATCGGAGACCAGAATGCCACCACCAACCACAACCTCAGCAGCACCACCAGATAATTTATGCTCCTCCTCCACACTCCCAAACTCCTCCCCTTCCTTCAATTCTGCTATATGCATAATAACTCCAAGATTCAAATTAAAAAACCAAAAATTCGCAACAAACTTTGATATTTCCCCAAAGTTAGAAACGATCTCCTTCAATATCCGCAAAAATCACCTCTGTAGATCCACAAGACAACAAGGAAATAGGAAAACATAAAATTATCGCGCTACTTCGAATTATAAAAATTCGTTTGGCAGAACTATCTATTTTTTCCGGAAATTATGAAAACTAGCAATACAAATCAATCGGGAACCCTAGAATTCAGAAATGAAGACGATCAAACAGAAGAGGTAAGGATTCACAATTACGTTCATAATTCAACGAAGCGGTATCGATCGAAACGAAAGGGATGCGATTTGGAGACTGGTACGTGATCAAAGAAGATTGGAATCAAACCCTAGCCTCGAATGTTGAAACTCTAGATCGCACTCTATTCTTCTCTCTCCTCGAAGAGATTGGATTGAAACGAAAAGTTCGAAAAGTGTTAGGCTGCAGGAAATACGTGAAGGTCCACATGGTATTCTATATTTTTATTGTTTTTAAGGGCAAATGACGCTTTCTACCCTAAAAGATCATCACATACTGAATTTTGTACTTAAAATATTAAAATTCTCATATTATATTCTCAATTAAATACACGGAAAATTACATTTATTCTCCGTTTGGTATGATAAAAAAATAAAATGATAAAAAATTAGAGGTATAAATAAAACATCATGTTTGATAAAAAAAAAATAAGAAGGATGAAAAAGTGGATGGATTAACTTTTCTTCCAATTTACCAAAATTGGAAGAAAAGTTGATGGAAAGTTAATTATTTGTGTTAAGATGTATCTTATTTGTCTATATATTATATATACATTAATTTCTTATAAAAATACAATGATAAAATATGTATTTATATATATTTTTTAAAAATAAATTTAAAAACTAAAAATTAAAAATTTAATTAAAAAAAAAGATCATCTTAACTAGGGGTGAAAATTTTAACTCAATATAATGACACGACTCGAACTTGACACAAACTTGATTATAACTCGACACGAACTTGAAAATGACCTGACACGTGAACAAGAAATATAAAAGACTCATAATTTTATGACTCAACATGAATCTAACATGACACCACTTGATTTGTCACCCCTAATCTTAACCAGTACGAAAAAAAAAAAAAAAAAAATTTAGTTATTTTTATTTTCTATCCATCCAACCAAACAAAAGAGAAGGAAAGTATATCATTCCTACTTTTCGTCCTTGAATAATAGAAAGTGTATTTCTCATTCTTTTCATATTTCATATTTTTCATCCTTCCTACCAAACGGAGTAGTAGATCTCTTGACATTTGAAATATTACACACAGACTATCTAAAGTTTGTACGCATGTAACACTTAGACATTTACCGTCAAATGTCCGTATATCTGTTAGTAAATTACACTTAAACCCCTGAAAGTTTGTACGCATATAATATTTAGACCTTTGAAATTTAAAATATTATATTAAGATCAAAAATGTTCTAATTAAAGATAGAATATCAAATATTTTAAATTTTAAAACTAAAATTCATATTCTATTGTATCATTTATTGAAATAAAATAAAAAATAAAAAATCAAATTTTTCTTAAAAAATTATAATTAGTATACAATTATATTATCTATTGTAATAAAATTAAAAAAAATCATATACGAGGTCCATGTCATTCAAAATAGAACATGAATTTTACAACCAAAATTCATGTTCTATTATGTCAATTATTAAAATAAATCAAAATCAAAATTTATTTTTTCTTAAAAATTTATAATTAGTATATAATTATACTATCTATTAGAATAAAACTAAAAAATTAAATAAGGGATCAAATTGTAATAGAAACAATATATTCTAACTTTAATTAAGGTAATTTTGTAATTGAATTTAGTCATTTAAACTACCAAATTAAATTTTAATCGATAGTATGATTGTATACTAATTATAATTTTTTAAGAAAAAAATTAAATTTTTAATTTTAATTTTATTTCAATAAATATTATAATAGAACATAAATTTTTGTTATAAAAATTAAAATATTATATAGTATATATTTGATTAGAGTATTTTTAGTTTAAGCATAACATTTTAAACTTAAGGAATCTAAGTATTGCACGCCTATAAACTTTAAAAGATTTGAATGTAATTTACTAATAAACATTGACAATAGGGTTTAGGTGTTACGTGTGTACAAACTTCAACGAGTCTATGTGTAATATTTTAAACATTAATGCTCCGTTTGGTACGATAGAAAAGTAGGAGGATAAAAAGTTTGATGGATATATAAAACATCATGTTTGATAAAGAAGGAAAATAGAAAAGATGAAAAAGTGAATGAATTAACTTTTCTTCCAACTTACCAAAATCAATCTCTTCAAAATCGGAAGGAAAATAGATAAAAAGTTAATTATTTGTATTGAGATGTATCTTTTTTGTCTATATATCTTTTTATATATACATATATAAACATTAATTTATATAAAAATACAACGGTAAAATATGTATATATATAATTAAATTTAAAAAATTAAAAAATTGAAGAAAAAATTAAAAAAATTAAAAAATTCAATTAAAAAAATATATTTTTTCCATTTTAATTGAGGGTAAAATTTTTCGATTTAACATGATGATACAACTCGAACTCGATACGAAAATAAACATGTCAACTCGCAACTCGACACGACACAATTAGTTAAATAAGTTAAATTAGGTTTGACTAATATTTGACACAAATTTATAATTACTCTACACGAATCTGACACGACCCAACTCGATTGTCACCTCTAATCTTAGCTAACACAAAAAAAAAATAGTTATTTTTATTTTTCATCCATCAAACCAAACACAAAAGAAAGAAAGTGTATCCTTCCTACTTTCTAATCCCTCCTACTTTTTATCCTTCATACTTTTTATCCTCCCTACCAAACGGAGCATAAATGACTGAGTGATTAAGTGACAAACCTCAACGAGTTTAAGTGAGTAATGATATGTATTTCCCCTGAATTTCGTTGTAAGAGAAGTAATCCTAGACTGAAAAAATACTTAATTTTCTCAAAAAAAAAAATCTTACCACATTGTTGCCTAACAAAATAAAAAGAGAGAATTACACCTAAACTTTCTGAGATTTGTCATTTAATCACTTACACCCGCTGAGATTTGTACGTGCGTAACACTTAGACCCTTACTGTAAAATATATCTATTAATAAATTATACTTAGACCCTTGTAAAGTTTTTAGATATATAATATTTAGACCTCTTAATTTTAAAATATTATACTTAGATAAAAAAAATCCAATCAAATATAAAATATAAAATATTTTAAATTTTACAACGAAAATTCATGTTCTATTGTATCATTTATTAAAATTAAATTAAAATTAAAAATTTATTTTTTTTCTTAAAAAATCATAATTAGTATACAATTATACTATCTATTGGAATAAAACAAAAAAATCAAATAAGGGGTTTAAGTCATTCATAATAAAATATGAATTTTACATCTAAAATTCATGTGTTTATTATTTCATTTATTGAAATAAAATCAAAAATAAAAGTCTAATTTTTTTTTTAAAAAAAAATCATAATTAGTATATAATTATACTATCTATTAGCATAAAACTAAAAAATTAAATAAGGAGTCAAACTATAATGAACACAACATTTTTTAGCTTTAATTGTGGTAGTTTGGTATTTAATTTGATTGTTTAAATGATCAAATTAAATTCTAATAGACAATATAATTGTAAACTAATTATGATTTTTTAAGAAAAAAATTGAATTTTTATTTTTAATTTTATTTCAATAAATGATATAATATAACATGAATTTTGGTTGTAAAATTTAAAATATTTGATATTTTATTTTTGATTGGAGTATTTTTTATCTAAGTATAATATTTTAAACTTAAGGGGTTTAAATATTATATATTTACAAACTTTAAGGAGGTCAAAGTATAATTTATTAAATGATATATTTATATTAAGGGTCTAAGTATTACTCGCGTATAAATTTTAGGGAATCTGTGTATAATATTTTAAATATTATAAATGTAAGTGATTAAATGACAAACTTCAAAAAACTTAAATATAATTCTCTCAAATAAAAAAAAAGGAAGAAAATGCGACGATCATTCAACACACTTATATCTATCTTTTGTAGTTATTGACCGATCCTAAAACATTGCAATCAATTATGGAAGCTACAAATTTCAAAAATTGAGTTACAAATGGTAAGAATAGTCTATCCTCAGCCATTGTAACTTCGCAGCTCGTAGGTATAAACTTACCATTAAAAATCATAACTTTTGATACAAAATTTTTCGGTACGGTAGACTTCACTTTGATTGAAAAAGTATTCCAAGCAGTCGTTTGTGTAATTCAAACATTCAAAAACATTGGAATCTCATCTACTATTCACAAATCTTTCCAGTACATATACACTTTCGGCCACAACCTAGAGAAAAGAAAGATACCTCAGCTATGCTTTACCTAATGCATGGGTAGTAAATCAACCCTTTCTTTTCTTTGTCATTTTCTCTTTTCTCATTGCCAAAATTCATATTAACACATACAATTGATACCCTTTCACATTGTTGTTGCCTCGTCATGTCTGACCTAAATATTTTGAACATTTCCTATTCTTAAAGTACCGTAATTGAAGGAAACGATTGGAATAAAGTCGGTACTATATTATTGAAGTTTGTAATTTTTTTAGATTTTTTTTTTCTGGTGAAAAAATGGGTGGGGACAAGGAAGAGTGCCCAACGACCACCCCAATAGGCCCTCACCGGTGGGATCATAAGGCCCCTGACTGCGCCTGAGAAGACCAAACCTAACTAGGCTAGCATAACGGTCAATTATCAAGCCATAATGGAGATTCCAAGACTCGAACTACCAACATTAAGGTGAGGAGTAAGGTCAGTACCCCACTAGACCACCCTACTTGGTGGTTTTTTTTTTTTGGATTAATTTGTAATATTTTTAGGTGAAAAAGTTAAGAGATTCATTGATCCAAAAGATGATTACAATCGATCCCAAACAATTCATTTTATTTTTACTTCTCCTGATCAAGTTGTAACTTTACTGCTTGATTGTGATAATTTTGGTGTAGTCCTATTCTTTTTTTTTATACTATAGTCTTATCCACAAGTCAAGTTTGTGTAAGGGCTTGTTCGGCTCGGGGGTCCATGAATATACACATATTTGTTACATATTATTCATATCATGCATTGTATTTTCTACAAAATCAATGTGACAATAATGTAAATGCAATGTTTTAAAATTGTTTAGTTCTTAATAACATTGTGCATAAACATAAATGGTACCTTGATACCCAATAGTTACCCTAAATAAGCTGAGCCAAACTGAACCAAGTTGTGTTGAGTTCCGAACCTATTCTATTTAGAAAAGAACAATTTGAATCCAAACAGTCTAATACTAGATTTAATTCAATTCCCTGTTTTAAAAGTTCCGTGAGACCTATAATGGATCACCGTATTACGTTTTTCAATTGCACTGGACTAATGTTGAACCCCATGCAAAATTGTCTTCCCAAATTTGAGGGTCGTAAACGCAAGACATATATATTTGAACCATTGACTCATACTTAATGGGTCTCTTATCAAGAGGCCAAATTTCCGCTACGCTAGGATCTTGGGATCCAAAAAGTGCATATTACCAAAAAAAAAAAACTTAGAAGACTCATTGTATCACCATGGATGATTCTTGAAGAAAACTTTACTGCAAAATAGTTGGCATTCTTCATTCTTATAATCTTTGGGAGAACCATATTAGTAATACACTAGGTTATCTGGTATGATATCCAATGACTTGAAGAATGTGCAGAGAGAAAAAAAAAAAAAAAAAGCATACCAGCAGAAAGCTGGTGTATGCACCCCAAAAGAAGAATCCATTCTGTTTCACTCCCAAAATGTCCTTACAAAAGCTGTATATGCTCACTTTCTTTCTTTCAAGTTGAGAGCTTTTTTTTTCATTCCATGCATCCGAGATTTACCATTCGGACTCACGAGACTAAGTAACATAAATACGCCTCTATTCATCGGAAACAGATCAAAAATTTTCTCCGTTGCCAAAAAAAATAAAATTAAGAGCAAATCAGATTAAGTGAATTACAAGAGTCAAATTCGGCTTTTTTTTTTCCCACCTGGGGGTGTCACATATTTGTGAAGCCATAGTGATTTATATGGGATTGAAAATGAATTGAGGAATTCAATAGTTTTTCTCCGAAGTTTTAAATGTGTGATCATGCTGCCACGGTCGACTTGTTGCCATTGCCACGATCGACATGCTAGACTGTCACAGCCGATGCGTCACTCACCGCTATGCTAAACTATCGCAAATCGAGTTGTTAAATATATGATCACTAGTTATTCCTTATGCCTGAAGGTACAGAGTAATAAAAATGATAAACAATAAATATATTTGTATTTATATCTAAAATTAAATCATTAACATAGATGAAAGATAAATGAATTTAAAGATCAGTTGTAGTGGAGGTAAGAGGTGATGGGTGACAGTGATGGTGATAGGAGACGGTGATGATTGTGGTGGTGGGGGGTGGCAATGGTAACGTTGGTGGGGTGGTTGTGGCGGCAGCGACGACGATGACGATGGTGGTGGCAGTGGCGGCGGCGACAACGACAGTTGTGGTGGTGAAGGCGACGACGGTGTTGGCAGTGGCGGTGGTGATAATAGAGGTAGTGGTGGGGCGGTTTCAAACACTATTTTTTAAAAAAAGTATTTATAAGAAATAATTTCTAAAATTACTTTTAAAAAATCACTCCAAACACATCCTTAAGGGTCTATTTTTCCTATGTTAATATTAGTCATTAGATTAACTTTAAAGTAAAATTTAAAGGGATCTCAACCGCGAATAACAAAAATTATTTTGTTTATCTTTTGAGATTTGAATTGTAAGCTATTTTATTATGATCATGTATACCTTGCTAACATGACTAATGTGTTTCCAACCGCAAAAAGATGAACAAAAGTTCATGTAAACTCTTTTTTTTTCTTCATATTGTAAAGGATTTGATAACGTTGTTTCCCATAAATTATTATATGAACCAGTCTACTTAATTATCAGTGTAAATTACAATATATTCCCATAAATTACCGACAAAATATCATGCTTATATTATTCCTCTAGAAAATCAGCACGAAGCTAGCTAGGCACGACTGCCAGACTTACACAGACACGTTCATTTTTTTGGAAACTTCAATTACAAATAAACTGGAAGCTAACGCAGATAACAGTAACGTCATTGTAATTTTCCATACAATCTCTCATTCAATAATTCATAATTGCAGTTTTTGTCCGAAAATTCATTATAGCCGGAAGATTTGTGCACGATTGATGTGAAACTTTTAAGATTATCTCTCAACGAAGAAAAAAGAACAAAAAATGGGATAGATCATAAGTTGGAATGTAGCATTGTGTTTTAAGTTTAAGCTTAAACTTATTCTGTATAGCCAACATTCCGACCATGATGCAATCGGAAGAGCAACAAATTTTAAAGACAAAAGGAAAATCCAGAAACAAAAACAGAAAATTCCACAGAAAAATAAAGGGTGGGATTATTACCGCTCGAGCGTTAAAACTCTTTTTTTTTACTCGATTCTCTTATTTCAAACTACTAAGTTTACCATATCAATACACATCTCATTAGTTACTAAGTTCACATCATTTATGCTTATTCAATTAAACTATTAAATATATGTCAAAGAAATAAAAACAAAAATCTATTATTTTGGAGTGTTTTGAGATATTTTGATATATTTTTATCAATATCTTTGAAATATTTTAAAGTATTTTAAGATATTTTAGTATATTTTGATTAATATTTTAAAAATAATTATTAATTTTTATTCTGTTTTTGAAATTTTTTTGTATCAAAATAATATATTAAAACAAAATTTTGATCATTGTCTATATAGTAGTTTGGAATAAAATTGAATGAATTTAATTTTTAATTAGTGAACATAAATGGGGTGGATTTAATAATTAATATGGTGAGTATAAATGAAGTCTATAAAAGTTTTTTCCTTTTTAAGGTTAAGGATCAAGTTCCTCCTTCCTCCTTCCTCCTTCCTCCTTCCTCCTTCCCCTCCCCAAAAAATAAACAATAATAAATGGAGTTAACTTAATAATTTAATAATTAAATAGTATAAGAAAGGAAATTTAAAGATAAGGGCACCAATGTCAATGAGTGGAACTAGTCAAAAGGAACCAATAGCTTGAAGCCTTGAAATCATCTCACTCTTCCCCAAAACTTTTCCTAATCACTCTCTTTTTTCTGCACTTCTTCTGTTTTTCTTAGCCTGGAAGTCTTCTGTCCTCCATCTTTTCCATCCTTTTTTCCCCATTCTGCAACATCAATAAGATCCTAAACAAAGCTTCCCTCTGTAATTCAATGGCAGACAAGGATTCCTACACCACCAAACCACAGATATTAAGCTCAAAAGTCAAACCAAACCATCCAAACCCAAGTAAGTTCTACACTCATTTCCTATACAAAGCTGTAATTCTTACAATTTTTCTAGTTCTTCTTTCACTTTTTCCTTCACAAGCTCCTGAATTCATCAACCAAACCAGAATTTGGGAGGTTCTTCATCTTATTTTTGTTGGTATTGCTGTCTCTTATGGCCTTTTTAGTAAGCTCAGAGTCGAAACAGAGAAAGAATATGGCTCAAAATTCGATAATGCACAATCATATGTATCTAGATTGCTTCAGGTTTCATCAGTTTTCGATGATGAGGAACAAAACCCACCTGTGTTTGATGAAAATAAGCTTCAAACGTGGAGTTCTCAGTACTATAGGGTTGAACCAGTGGTGGTAGTAGCCCCACAAAGCTCTGTTCTTGAAGAACGGAGTGAAAAGCCATTGATTTTGCCTGTTAGAAGCTTGAATACTTGTGTTTCAGACTCTGATATGATTGAATCAGACAATGTATCTGATGGTAAATTTGGAGGCGCGAGTCCTCTAGATTTAGAGGAAAGGGTAGAAGAAAATGTTATTCTTCGATCTCCGATTCCATGGCGATCCAGATCAGGAAGGATGGAAATGAAAGAAGATGGGGATAGTACTTCCCTGTATCAATCGTCTCTTTCATCTAAATCACATTCTTTTAGGTCTCAATCATCTCGTTCATCTAGACCCAATTCAAATTCTCCTTCGCCAAACAAGTTTTCTCCTACACCATCCCTATCTTCTCCTAAAAATCGATCTCCTTCGCCTTCCTCATCGAGAATTGAAGCCAAGAATGCAGAAGATTTGGTGAGAAAGAAGTTTTATCACAAATCTTCACCACCACCACCATCATATCGTCAAAAAACTCCATTGATGAAATCAAATTCTAGTCTGACAAGTGCTGATGTTTCTTCTAAGAAGGAATTGAAGCGTAGTGTTCGAAGTTTACCTATGGATTTGAATAAGAATAGCATAGAGGAAGTGTTGAGCAGAGCAAACATGGGGTCAGAGTCGAGACCCAGAACCCAAAACGGTGGTCCACGGGTGGCAAAATCTGTTCGGACAATTAGATCGACTGTCAGAGAATTTGGAGAAAATTTCATGAATGAAAAAGCAGAGAAAAGATCAGAGGAACTTGAGTCAATTTTCATTGACAAAAGAGAGAAATTATTGCATGAACGCGTACCTCTTGTCTCGCAGCAGATTTTCTCCGACTTTCCAGAGAGAGAGGAGAGAAAAATTGATGAAAATGTGGTAGTGGAAACCGGTGATGATGAGTGGGAGAGTGAGGATATTAACATTGAAGGATGTCCAGAGAGTGAAGAAGTTGCAGAAAATAGAGTTGGTGACAATGGTCCAGATGTAGACAGGAAGGCTGATGAGTTCATAGCAAAATTTAGAGAGCAGATTAGGCTTCAGAGGATTGAATCTATTAGGAGATCAACAGGCCCCTCTAAAAAAAATTTGAGCTAATGCGGATGTAATAATGTTATTTAGATTTAATTTGTGGATGTAATTTACTGATATAATCAATCACAATCATTAAATTGGTTGCGAATCTCAATTAATACCGAAACTCTTCGTCAATCCAATGATTATGGGCGATTTGCTCTCCGTCAATCCAATGATTATGGACGATTAGATCCAAGTTATATTACTCATTTGGATTTAGTGTTTGGATTTGCATGGTTCTTTCTTTGCATCTAGCAACCTAACAGAGAGATGTTTTCAACATCGATTCTTCATGTTTTTTGTTATGGTTTTCTGAAATATGCATTTAGACTGCTCAGTCTAATGAAAAAAAAAACAATTTCAGCTCAAAGTGTAATGTAAAAACACGCTTTCATTAGTTTTATTATCAAACGAACTGACAGGGTGCTGGTAAATTCTCAGAAAAATAATCTTTTTCCAACTCAGCTCTATCTCACCTTTAAAACTCATTGGCCATGTTCAAAATTGTGTTGTCTCTTGCTTCCAAGACAACCAATCTAATGTTCATTGAATAAATATATATGATCACAACGATTGGACTAATTTCTTTCACTTTTTTTGGGTAAGTAAAATTTCTTTCAGTTATTCTGATATTTTTTATTTTGATATAGGATGTTCAGATTTATACCGACTATTTTCTCGAACTCATCAGCCGACCACCACGACTTATGTTGGTTTACAGTGTTTCACTTATGTGTCATTGCTCCAATGTGTCCTATTGGCATCCCACCCAAAAATTGTCTAAAGAAATGCAATCTCTACAACATGGCCCAATTACTTAGCCTATAATGAGCTTTTGATTCTTTTTTGCCTAAAAAAGTTAGGCCTGACTTGAATTGGCCTTCAGTACTTCAAAAGCATTAGGCCTATGTAGCCTTAAAAATGATCAGACAACCCATTAGCCCTTAACCAACCCCTTATTTTTTTCTATTTTATTTTTGTTCCACACCACCCATTTTGCTTTGTTATGCCTGAAACCCTCGCGATTGATTGGAAGAAGAATTGAAAGCAACTGTTGTCCAGTAGTCCTATTTATCCACCGCTCTCGAGACAATTGCGTCTCAATGTGGTTGTAGGTAAGTTGATTTTTGTTGCGGAGATGAGTCAAAATGTGGGTAAGCGTCCAACTAACCCATTCAACCGCATCGAACTCCAACTGGTCTTTTGGACCAAACACTTTTTTTTTATTTAATGGTCATGTTGTTCGGGCCAATTTATGTGTATTTCAATTAATTTTTTTTTCGATCTGATCATAAACAGATTATTCACACCGAAATTAAAAAAATTATAAAAAATAAATTTTTTATCATTTAAACCGAAGGAATCTACCAGTGCCAAGATTATACTAACAAGACGAACACATGAAAATTTGACAGGCTTAAAGAATAATTAGTGCTAATTAACCTTTCTTTTTGTCATCGATCCCATTTCCCATTTCATGGATTTGTATGCTTTTCTACTCTCTCTCTAATTTTAGTCTCGATTATCAAAACTTACTCGTACCTTGGAAGTCAATTTTTTCACGTATTAGTAAATATCGAAGTTGTTCCTTGTAATTTTGAGGGAGGGGGAGGGGAGGGGAGGGGGAATAAATAAAAATATATTAAATGGTAAATGATCTTACGATGTCCTCCTGATTGACCCATTGTGCCTGCTAAAAGCAAGTCTTCACCAAACACTAATGTCACTTTCTTTTCTAATATCTCCAACTAAACTGATGTAGGGTCTAACCAGACTAAGGTGCAAGTCAAGAAATTACAGGAAGTCTTCAAATTTTGGGACTTTGAATGATGATTCTTTCGACATCAAACTTCATAAATTAGATATTTTTAAGAAATAAAGTCTGAAGATTGCTTGATTGATTAAGGTAAGGAATTGTCAATTTGTAATTTTTAGTCAAATTGCTCCAAAGTCATGTGAGAAGACCAATAAAATATTTGCTTAATTGAAAATTAAGGATAATTTCTCTTCAAAAGTTATTTAATTAAAAAAAGCAAATATTATCGTCACTAAAGGTACTCTTTTAAATGATGAAATTCTAATTAAAAAAAAACGTTAAAACTGTCAAAAACTAATTTATCGTGAAAACAAATTATTTTTCGCGAAAAGTGAATGTTTTAATACATTCTCAATAAGTGAATAAAAGGAATTTGCTGCACTCTTGGTCGTTATAAAATCGAAGATTTTGAGGACTATAGTTGTACTTACTCATATTACCATATGAAAAAACTAATTCTTAACTCAAATATGAATTATTATCATTAAATATATAATAAATTTCAATAAATATTCAAATTTGTAGTCAAATTAATAACAAATATAACATCTAAATTATAAAATCAAGTTTTTAAGTTAAATTTTTAACTCTATATAGCATTGCTTTAAAAAAATATTTAGATTTCACTTTACATCCAAATGTCTCTTCCACCCACCCACCCACCCACGAGTAAATATNCACAAAGTTGATTAGGCTTTACCAACCATATACTTATGTATCACTTTTTAGCATTCCTTGCTCAAGCATTGCTTAGAGCCGTCAATGTTTGACTTGCTAACCATTCAATTACCATAATGTCCCATTTTGGTAGCAGTCGATTAGTTGAATTTGGACCAACAATTATGCCTTCAAAAACAATCATATAATGAGAATCGAGTGGTCGAGATTCAACAGAGAGAGGTACAGAGTAAATATTGAATTCAACGGTGATACCATATCACCATTGATTATATGATATCACTAATCAATAATAAAACCCAAAATAAAAAAGGTGAATCCTATTTGAACTTACATGGCAGAAAAATAAAAAATTATTTACTGATATGACAGGTTAGTTATTAATTTTTATAGGGTCTATCTATTTAGTTGTTTTATTATTATTGACTGATAATACCACATCACCTTGTCACGTGGTATCATAGATATTTTCTCCACCTAGAAAACACCCCCCCCCCCCCGCC